TTTTTAATTTTTTTATTTCTCTAATTTTCTAATTTCATTTTACATTATACAACTTTAAGATAAAAATAAATTTAATATAAATACGTAAAATGTAACAAAAGTCAATAAAACATATCATTAAATAAATTACAACAAAGATAATAATAATAATAATAATAATAATTATTATTATTATTATTATTATCCTTTTTTTCTTTTATTATAAAGTATAAATTTTATGAATCTACGGCATAGAAATTATGGATTTACAGTATAAAAACAATATAGAAATTATGGATATGGAACCGTGCTCACCTTGCTCACAGCATAACATTCCCACAAAAATAACTTTGGGCATATTCAATAGTGAGATTTTTGGATGGTTTTTGAGGTGGCAACTAGGAGAGAGGGGAATGAGAAAGAGAAGAGGGAAATAGAGAGAGGGGGGAAAAAAAGAGGAAAAAGACTAATCTGACGTCGAAAAAAAATAACAAAGGGCTTTGACGCGCCAGCTAGCGCGATCTGTGCATCCCACGCACGCCACCGCGCCTTTTCATTTATCTTTTTCTCTCCAGCGGGTCTCAAAAAACTATCATGTGCAAGAGGAGTTCAAAAATTCTCTATCATCCACATCACTCACATTTCTTCAAAAAGTGGTCCAAAAGCCACTAATGTGGATGGCCTTAGGGATGTTGTGCACACGGTTCAATCTTAATTTCAACCTTAAGGTGTAACACTACTCACGCATGATTTTTCATTCCTCCATTTAGAAAAATTTGTTTATAACTTTTTCAAAATCATTAAGAAAAGTAGACAATGGAGATAAAATAAGAATTTGAAGAAATAAATTTAGTAAACAAATTTTTTATTTTTTATTATTCTACTTCTCCAATTTTATGTTTTTCTTAAAAAATCCTCTAATTATTCATTTTGATAAAGACCCCTTTAGATTTTCTAATTTTTCATTTTGGCCTTAAAATTTTATCTCGGGATTTAATCAGCACGTGATTCACGCTACGTCAGTTTGTGGAGGCGCGTGTCCATTATTCTATGGACCATGGTCCACACATTTATGTGAACCATAAGTAAAATATACATTTTTAATATACTAAAAGTACATTATTTGTATACATAAAGTACATTATTTGAAAGCATATGACTTTTTTATATATATTATCAAATAATATACATTCAGTACACAAATAATATATTTTTAATATATTAAAAATGCATACTGTATTCATGGTCCACACAGCTATGTGGATCATAGTACACACAATAATTTGCCTGTCATTTCCTTCAAAGAGTTATTTATTTATTATTATTTTTTAAAGCGTTTTGATACGGCAAATGCTGGGCTAGGGGCCTTTAGTCAAGCCCATCTTATTATGTGAATAGGCCTTTTATGCAGAATTGCAGACCATGCCCATTTTATTGTTTAGATTTTTTTAATTTTTTTTTTTTGAAACAACTCTATAGACTTAAACTTGAGATAATTGTGTTTTTGGTCCATCGATTATTGATCATTATGTAATTTAATTCTTTATTTTTATTTGGAAAAATTGCACTTTTCGTTTCTATGTTATACGATAATTTATAAATCGTTCTTTTACGACTTTACTTACAAAATATTATGCACGAAATTAGCAACATTATTATAACTTAGGAACGAAAAAAGTTAATAAAAGAATGAAAAGTGCAACGCCAATAATAACTTATGGGAAAAGTGAGCACGACTAACACTTAGGGCCGAATTCTACGATTACCTATAACTTATGGGCTAAAATGAAATTTTCCTTTTTATTTTAGTCAATATAATTCTTAATTATTTTTGTCATGCTGTAAATTTAGTCTATCAAACTATCAAAGTATAAAACAGTGAATTAAGTCTCTCAAAGTTTTAAAACAAAAGCTAAATTAGCTAATATAGGTAAATTATAGAGGGACTAAATTAATTTGTTTAGACATTGAGGGACTAAATGTACACATAACAAAATAATTAAGAATCATATTAACTAAAATTGAAAATAAATGACTAAATTGCATAATAGTTTAACATTTGAGAAACCAAAATAAAAATATGGTTATCCCTTCAAACAATTGAACTATGACAATTAACCCCTCAAACTTTTTTGGAGATGAATTATTAAAATAAAAAAAAAAAAAAAGGAAAAGAAATAAAAGATCAAGTTTCATCAACTTCTTAATTTGTAATTTTATATCAACATTTTATTAGTCTTGCAAATTATTCAGATCAAATATTAAGATATTCACATTTGATTCATTTTATTATTTAAATTTCCATAAGTTCAATCTTGACTCCAAGCCAATCGAATCCACACATTTATTAGATTAATATCGTGAATTGAATGAATGAATACCTCTAAGGCTTCCCTGCTCTTTAAATGCAGACACTTGCAAGTATACATCGAAGAAGTTTTTTATTTTATTTTATTTTATTATGTCACTTGTATTGTAAGCTTGCAAACATATATAAAAGTTGTCATTTGGCACCTTTTGTACTTGTTCTCTTTTTTTTTTTTCTTTTTCTTTTTTCTTTAAAAAAAAACTATTATTATTACTATTAAGAGTGCATTGAAATTATAGACATGAAAAATTAGTACCCACATTTGAAAGTGAGTTTGAATTGTAGGAACATAAAGAAAATAGTTAAGAAATTGTAAATTTAATTATGTGGAAGTATGACAAACTTTTGAAAGTGAGGTTGTATTATAGAGTAATAGTTATACCATGAACCTGGGTCCACAATACACAATTTACATACTAAATATTCACAATTTACATACTGAATGTTCACAATTCAAATTGTGAACATTCAGTATATAAATTGTGAGTATTTAGTATGTAAAATTGTTAACATTTAATATGTAAATTGTGTACTTTTAGATTTGGCTCTACTTTACAAGGTGGACCCGAGTGCATAGAATAATTTGTCATTACCGAAGTAAGAATAGCCTAGGAGCAAGCTCAATAGTAAAACTAAAATATCTTATTTTTAAGATTGGGGATTCAACCTTTTGAGAGAAGAAAATATCTGATTTTTTTTTTTTTTTGGGTTTTCTCATCTCCAATTAATAAGCACCTAATGGACAGTTGGACACACTCCGTCATAGCCACGCATGACGTCTTTTTAAACCACCCCCCAAAAAAAAAAAAAAAAAAGAATTTGACAAAAACTCACAATTAGTTTCTTCTCTTCTCTCATCACTCATTGATATAAAAATCATATGACAAAAATCTATGAAAGATCCTATTTTTTTTAACCAATCATCATGCTCCTCTAATGCCGATGACAATTCTGCGTCTTTAAATTGACATTTGACAATAACGCAGACATGCGAGTGGTTGATTTTTCATGCTGCAACACTCAAAACTCTTTTTTCTTTTTATTCTTATTTTTTCAAGATTCCATTTTCAGCCTTAAAAATGTTGAAAGATTCAAGCATTTGGATAATGCAAGCGCCATCCTGGTCCCACACTCTACCTACTTTAATTTGACAAGAAAACTAGAAGATGTTTGTTATATACAGATTGATAATTAGTTTTTTTTTTTTTTTTTTTTTTTTAAATTATTGTTAAATATGTACTGTACAATTATAATACTGTCTAAGATTTTGTAACAATGTAGCATTGTCATGTGAAGCAGACCGATTCGTAAGGAGAAAGCAATTGAAAAAAAAAAAATCATTAATGACATATAAGAGTTACCTACCTTAATTATACTAGTCAACTGATTTACTTTTCCTTTTTAATTTAAAAACATATTGTGCTAGATTTTTATTTTTATTTTTGGTCAAAAGCATAATCAACTTTCATTATCAAACATCAAAGCACTTACAATTGGAGGAAAATCAGTCCAAACTATACAATCATGCATGGAACCAGATGCCCTAACTAGTGCCTGGGCAATTTGATTCGCTAAACGTTTAACAAAATATAAGTGCAAATCAACAATAGATTCAGCAAGAACTTTAATATCGTCTAAAATGAGGTCAAAATAAGAGCCACCTGTGTCGCCATGCAAGGCATCAATTTGGTTAATAAGTCAATTTAATACGAATTTTTCTTGCTCACTTTCCCTCCTCTCATATGTTTTTTTAATAATTGGTTGTTACATATTCTATTTTCTTCTTATTCTCTCAAATATTGTCTACTAAACCATTGAGGTAAACCCATACGAGTTATTCTATTTTCTTCTAATATTATGTGTATATGTTTCTCACTAAAAAAAAAAAAAAAAAAAAAAGAAGTTCAAATTGGATGATAGAGATTAGAAGCAACGTAACAAACAAATAAATAATGGAAACACCTTATAATTGTACCACAAATAATACTTACAAATAATAAAATTTTAAGATTATGCCATGTTTAGTAAAAAAAAATTGGCCTATTGATAAATTTTAGCTTATTTGATCACAATTAATTATTATTTTTTTTAATGCAACTATTAATTGTTTGATTTAGTTAAAATATCAATATAAGTGTTTGGTTAATTAGCTTTTTGCAACTCTAAAATGCTAAAATTCAAAAAGCTACTCCAAACAACTTTTTTCAATTAGCTTTTTTCAAAAAAGAAATTATATCAAACAGCTATCAGCTAACAGCTAATTTACCAAACACTTTTCTACAACAGCTAATGTTATCAACTAGTTATACCTTCTAATTAACACAATCAGCTAACAGCTATCAGTTAACCGCCATTTATCAAATGGGTCTATATGATATAACAATAAATGTTAGGGGTAGGACTTAGGAGTGATATAAATTCAAATTTTAAAAGCTAAAGTGTTTTATTCTTCTTCTTCTAGAATAGATTAGACAATGCTAAGATTAAGACAAGCACTATCATGTAGGTGAAATTTGCATAAAAATTACTATTTTCAATTTCAAAGAATTGACTGGAGTTGCATTTTAATTTAGTTGTCAACTATTGTAACATTTTTCAATTCAATTCTCATATAATAATTTGACGTAATTTTACCATCAACTTTGATGGTCGCATGCTTGCATCCAATTTCATCAACTTTCTATATAAATGCTTATTGGCTACTGTGAGGTCTAAAAAATGGATAGCACTTGCAACTGCAAGTTCAGGAATTGCAGCATCTATTTTACCAGGTGGTCGTACTGCTCATTCTACATTCAAAATACCAATTGATGGAGATAATAAGTACGTCTGTAATATTGGAAAACGAACTGCAGAAGCTACTTTATTAAAAAAATGTAGATTGATTCTTTGGGATGAAGCCTCTATGGCTAACCACTGGGCTATTGAAAGTGTTGATACAACGCTTAGAGATATTATGGACACAGATCAAATTTTTGGAGGAAAGGTGGTTGTTTTTGGAGGTGATTTTCGACAAACATTACCAGTTATTAGATATGGGAAGAAAGAAGATTTTATTGAAGCAAGTTTGGTTAAATCACCATCAATCTGGCCAAACATCCAACGATTAAAATTGGTCCAAAATGTTCGTGCAAATGAGGATCCAGCATTTTGTGAGTACTTGATGAAGATTGGCAATGGAACTGAACAATTTATTGGTCGAGACAAAATTAAGATTCCATCCTCATTCATTATTCCATGTCCGGATGAAGATATTTCTCTTGATGCTTTATTTCAATCCGTATATCCTGACTTAACATGTTTCGGGAATGATCCTTATTCATTAATGAGCAGAGCCATCTTAACAACTAAGAATGAGATTGCAGATGAAATTAATTCTATCTTAATAGATAGATTCCCGGGCGAAAGTAAGTGCTATGTTAGTTTTGATGAACCACTTAATTCGAACTAGTTGCATTGTAAAGATTATTTACACACTTTATCCCCTGCTGGCCTACCCCCTCACAAGTTACTTCTGAAGAAAAATTGTCCTATAATTTTATTGAGAAATCTGAATCCAGCTGAAGGATTATGCAACGGGACGAGATTAGTTTGTGATTCATTTGAAGATCATCTCATCAGTTGTTTCATTGCAGTTGGGGAATACAAAGGAAAACATGTCTTCATTCCAAGAATTCCTCTTGAGCCATCAAAGGATGAAAATTGTCCGATACCCTTTAAAAGAACCCAATTCCCTGTTAAAGTGTGTTTTGCCATGACAATTAACAAAGCTCAAGGGCAAACATTAGATTTTGTTGGAATCTACTTAAAAGAGCCAATTTTTAGTCATGGACAATTGTATGTTGCTATGTCTCGGGCAAAAAAAGCAGAATCGGTCAAGATGATTATATTCAGTGATGATGGTCACAGCAAACTGACCAATATTACAAATAATATTGTTTATCAAGAAATCTTGGATTACATATCTCAAACAACTATTGCACCAGACAAAAACTAACATCATGCTTGATGTTTATTGATGTTAGTTTTGTTTACCCTCTTATTTCAAATTTAAATAAATTACACTTTCATATACTAATTATTTCCAACTGACAACTATTTATCTCACATGTGCCACATGATTTCTGGATATCAATTTGTGAGAGATGCTGAATTGAGACAATGGAATTCAAGTGATATGTATATCTACATTTGACAAATCCTCTATACTTCATTAAATTAGTGTGACATGTTATTCAAAAAAAGACCAGGTAATTTCTAAATTCAATTTACTCTTTTTCTTTGTTTTCAAATTTTTATTATTAAGTTTACTAGCTTAATTTTTATTAATAAGTTTATCTCATATCTAGGTATCAAACGAGCAACCACATAGTGTATGAAGTTCTACTACTTTGATGGTAAATGTGCAAGAATCTACAAGGTATTAAAACTAATTCGAAAACATGATTTCATAGTTTCAAAATTTTTTAAGATGGAAAATCATATTTTATAAAATTAGGTGGTTATTAAATTAATGTGCTCACGTCATAAAATAAGTTATTTTACATATAACAAAAATGATATTCTCAAACAAAAGAACTACTATTACTTATTCTTTGATGTTCAATCCAACAAATAACAAAATAAAAAAATTACACGAACTAAAATTTACAACATTTGCACATTCATTTACAAAACTTATAGGACCAGTAAGAAACATACTTTTAGATGAGATTGGAAACAATTGCAAATACATGTTAACTAAATAACACAATTACAAAATAGTTGAAAAATATCATTACAAACAATTACAAATGTGTATATTCATCATAATGTGAATTTCTTGTGAAAAATTACTAAAAACCAACAAAATATATTTTACGTGAATATTTATGAAACTTCATAAAATAAAATAAAATAAAAACTACATGCAATTTATCTATTTAAAAATAATTTACTAATCAAGTTAAAACATTGGGCACAAGTTTTCGCGCAAAGCGCGTGGGAAAAACTAGTCATTCCAATAAAAGTTAAAAATAAATTAGGTAAACGTAAATTACTAAATCTTTAGTTTACAGAATAGTTCACCCGGGTACCATAAACGCCTTTATTGAGGCTTGAACTCGCTACATTTCAAATGGAAGTCCAACTCAGGTACCATTAGACCACATAGTCTTGGTCAAATACTACATTATATATATATATATATATATATATATATATATATATATATATATATATATATATATATATATATATATATATATATATATATATATATATATATGGATGCACTCAGGTGCGAATAAGTGCCAAGGAAGGAATATGCGAACGAATCAGCGCACGACACGTGTCCAGATCTAATAGCTTAAAAAAAACGCGGTGGCATTTTCGTAAATAATTGAACATCAAAGTGCAAGTAAAATCACTTACAAGTGCACCTACTTTCACCTATAAGTGCATGTAATTTTGCCTTGTTAGCATTCACTTCCCGCAAACATTCATGCACCTAGGTGCAACTACTTATAACTATGTGTGCAACTACTTATAACTATAGGTGCACTTAGTATTGATGCTCAGTGTAAATTTTTACTTGCACCTATAATACATTTTACATGCACTTGTAATACATTTTACTTGCACTTCGATGTTCAATTATTTACGAAAATGCCACCGCACTTTTTTAAAAAATCAGTGTTTCTCATCCATTAGATCTGGACACGTGGACAGACAGAATCCATTCCTATTTCGCTCTGGGCGAAGCATTCGCACCTGAGTGCGATTATATATATATATATATATATATATATATATATATATATATATATATATATTATGTTCAGTTGGAGAATTAAAACATATAACATATGACAAACGTGTAAGTTATTAGAACTTAGAAGTGTTCAACAAGGCGGCTTATAATCATCAGCAATTACAATGTTTATTGTTAATTAAAAATGTTTTACTTTCCGGCATGCAATAATAAATAACTTAATACATTGACTTGTTGAGATTAGCAAATTGAGTTCACAAACTTAAATACATTTGAATTCATTATTAGTGTGAAGGTGAAGAACCAAAATTTTACATTATTACATTTAAATTTAATATTTACTAAATGAATTTTAAGTGGTGAACCAAATTTAAAACAAAATCAATAGTAAGTGACCATTTACGATCAAATTGAAAGGTAATCAATGAAAAATTGAAAATTAGTAAAAGTCAATAATCAATAGTTATGATCTAATTAAAAATTGAGAAAAAAATATAAATGTAAATAGTAAACGATCAGAATTAACTCAAAATAAAATTAAAAATTGCAGACGTCACTAGTGCATTGGTTTATTTTATGAAAAAAAACATTTAAATGTCACAATCTATATATCATCTATTGTCCGTTACACTATTCCAACATCTGGAATTATACAACCTCAGATCAGAATTCCAGAGGCAAAATGGCCAAAGGGATGCAGGGATTTGGCTATGCGTTTTGCCTTCTGCTTTCCGTACTGCTCAATATTTTGTTGGTTGCGAATATTTTGTATGGGGGAGATGGAGAGTGGCGGCTCCGGGAGCTGAAGTGGAGCCAGGACGCGGCGGCGGCGGCGGAGACTGTGGCGGCGCTTCAGTGCTCCGGCCATGGCAGAGCGTATATCGACGGGAAGATTGGTGACGATGGTATTACACCTGTGTGTGAGTGCCACAACTGCTATTCTGGTCCTGATTGCTCTCTCTTATTGCCTGACTGCTTTGCTGATGCTGACAGGTATGCATATATGCTCTTCATCTCTATATATGTTAGAATTTGTGGGAAATTTTTATTCTTATTACAGAGGAAACGAAGAAAAATAAAAGAATCAACAACTTCATACATGTATATATACGTTTTGCCTGAATTTATAACGATGTACTTTTTGAAAATATGCATTAATTGTTCAAACATGAAGGTTATTGATGATTTGATGGTTACATGTACGGCGGATCTAGAGGGGGCCAATGAGTACAGTTGCCCCCCTCCTTCACTCCCATGTCAAATAGCGCATCAAACTTTTACCGTTTGTGCAATTGAATCATTTAATATTACAAAAATTATGCAATTGGTATGGGAGGTGTTTGGTAAATTGCTATTAGAGTTAATACCCAAAATAGTCCCTCGACTATGTCGTAATTACCAATTTGGTCCTCGACTATCATTCTTACCCAATTAAGTCCTCAACTATACAATTTTTTACCCAATTTAGTCCTTTGTCAATTTGACTGTTTGTTGACTGTCAAAAGTGGAAATAAAGTTGTAATTTTACAAGTTTTCTCCTTCCTCCTCATTTAGCAGCGCCAAACCATGTAGCAATAAGCTCCGGCTGGGTTCTAAACCTATCAGTATCGAAGTAGTGGTTATGCATCGAATAGCCCATGAATTTGATTTCCAACGATTTTTTGACGATCGAAATCTGATCGGAGTGTATTGCTGCATGGTTTGGCGCTGCTAAATGGAGAGGAAGGAGAAATCTTGTAAATAATACCGACTTTTGACAGTCAACAAACAGTCAAATTAATACAGAGGACTAAATTGGGTAAGAATTGTATAGTTGAGGACTAAATTGGGTAAGAATTGTATAGTTGAGGACTTAATTGAGTAAAAGTTACATAGTTGAGGACTTAATTGGGTAAGAATAGTAGTTGAGGACCAAATTGGTAATTATGACATAGTCGAAGGACCATTTTGGGTATTAACTCTTGCTATTAGCTAATTGAGTTAGTAAATTTGACTAGTTGATATTATTAGGTGATTGTAGAAAAATGTTTGATAAATTAGCTGCTGATTAAATGTAAAATATTTTTTCAAAAAGCTCAGGGAAAAAGTTACTTTGTCCAGTTTTTTAAATTTTAGCATTTTTGACTTTTGAGCAATAAAAAACTAATTAATCAAACACTCATATTGATGGTTTAACCAACTCAAACAGTTAATAGTGGTCAAATAAGTCAAAATTAGCTGATAAGCTAATTATGCCAAATGAAATTTAGAAGATGATGAGAGAAATGTATGTTGATTGAGCAGTGGGGATCCTTTGTTTCTGGAGCCTTTCTGGGTGCAAAATGCAGCTAGCAGTGCGGTGGTTGTGTCAGGATGGCATCGGATGAGCTATTCATTTCCTGGTAGTTCAAATCCAGGTAGTGCATATTTCTCCCAAGAACTGGAGAATCACATCCGGAAAGTGCACGCCGTTGCCGGAAATGCAATCACCGACGGCAAATATATTGTCTTTGGTGTCGGCTCAACTCAACTCTGTAATGCGGCTGTTTATGCTCTTTCTTTGGAAAACTCCTCCTCTCTTTCACCGGCAAAAGTCGTCGCCAAAATCCCCTTTTACCCGGTACAGATCAGACTCTCATTATTAATTTAAACTTCTTTTAGTTGAGATGGAAGGAAAGGTATATTTAATATTTTCCTTGAATTTGTTTTGTTTTCTGTTTGTCCACAGCTTTATAAGTCGCAGACTGAATATTTTGAGACCAAATATTATGAATTCCAAGGAGATCCGTCTTTGTTGAAGAATGATACAGATGCAGCTGGAAATGTGATCGAGTTTGTAACTTCCCCCAACAATCCAGATGGCCATTTGAGGGCGCCGGTTGTAGGAGGTCCCTTTGCAAGGGCGATTTATGATAGAGCTTATTACTGGCCTCATTTCACAGCCATCCCTGCTGCCGCTGATGAAGATCTTTCCATTTTCACCATCTCCAAGCTCACCGGCCATGCTGGAAGCAGATTCGGGTGAGAATAATGTATGTGTGAGTTTATATTTTTATAACAAAAATGTTTAAACATACCACTCAACGCAGGTGGGCAATTGTAAAAGATAAGAGTGTGTATGAAAACATGTTTATGTATATAAAGGCAGCAGAACTGGGAATTTCAAAGGAGACACAGTTGAGGGCTCTGACTCTCCTGAAAACAGTCCTCCAGGGTGATGGCAGGGGAATCTTCAACTTTTCCTATGAAAAAATGAAGAGCAGATGGGAAAAGCTGAGCCAGATCATATCCCAGTCTCATAGATTCACCCTCCAAGAAATCTCTCCAAAGTACTGCAATTTTTTCGAGAAAATTCGAGGACCCTCTCCAGGTAAAGAGTCTTGTTCTTGATTTTCATTGATGAAACTGGGAATAAACACAGAGTGTATGAACTTGCAGCGTATGCTTGGGTGAAGTGTTTATGGGAGGAAGAAACAAATTGCACTACAGTCCTGGAAGCGGCGAAGATCATAGGGCGAGCGGGCAGCATGTTCAGCGCCGAGGATCGTTATGTGCGGCTCAGCCTCCTCAAGAGAGACGACGATTTCGAACAGTTGCTAGTTCGGTTGAGGGAGCTGGTCGCCATTGAAGATGGTGCGAAAACCATGTGAATATAACATTATAATAAGTCACAAGGCTATGGTTATTCATTGCATGCCTTCTTGGAATAATGGTTGTGGGTCATAGAAAAAATTGTACTTGGAATTTGGTTTCCAGGTGTGTATTTCATTGACGCTATTCCAAAAGGTAAATAGTCCACTTGGAATTTGTTTTCCTGGTGTTTATTGTGAGTAATTACTGTGTATGGCAGATATGGGGTATAATAATTTAAGATTTAATGCTTCAACATATACACAGATGGCTAAAAAGATTCAGAGTTTAGCTCTGCATTGTATGTTTTTTTTTTTTTTTTGGTTATGTTATGAATTTATTTTGATTTCACAATGAGGTAAATCAGTTGAATAAATAAATATCAAACCAAATCATAAGGCTAATAAATAATATTTATAAGGGAAAAGGATCAAATACACTCTCGAACTTTAGCTTAAAAGTCAATTAGGCCCCTAAACTTTTTAAAGGTTCAATTACACACATCAACAATTCATTTAAGTGCAATAAAGCCCAAAAACAAATTAATGACCTGCTATCACAGGTCATTAGGGTCCAGGCCACCTTCCGGCGAATTTTTCAGCAAAAAAAAAAAAAAAAAAAGTGACCGGCAAAATTTTCAACAAAAGAAGTGATCGGCGAAATTTTCGGCAAATTTGGGTCGGTTGCTAGTCACCTTTTTTATGTCGGAAAATTCGCCGGAAGGTGGCCTGAACCCTAATGACCTGTGATAGTAGGTCATTAACTTGTTTTTGGGCTTCATTACACCTAAATGAATTGTTGATGGATGTAATTGAACCTTTAAAAAGTTTAGGGGCCTAATTGACTTTTAAGCTAAAGTTCGAGGGCCTATTTGACCATTTTCCTTATTTATAATAGTCAAAAGCCCTGTTTGGTAAAATATAAGCCTATTAGTCAATTTTGACTTATTTGATCACTATTAATTGTTTGACTTGGTTAAAAAATCAACTCTAAAATATTAAAATTTCAAAAGCTGATCAAAACAACTTTTTCAATTAACTTTTTGAGAAAAGAAATTATATCAAACAGCTAATTTACCAAACACCTTCTACAATAAGCTGGTATTATCAACTAGTTATATCCTCTAATTAACTCAATCATCTAACAGTCATTTATCAAACAGAGCCAACATTTAAAATTATAACTATCAAACCAATTTATCTGGGTTGTCAATTTATGAATAATACATCTTTGACGGTAAATACTAAGATGACAATTTTAAATAACCAGAGTCTTAATTTAATCCTACATGACTCTAAAAAAAAATAACCAAAAATTTTGGGCTCATTTCCTAACTAAAAAATTTCTTCAGTTTTTCTAGAAAATTGAAGAATTGAAGAGTTAATACCCAAAATTGTCTTCGACTATAGTGGTTTTTCTCAATTTCGTCCTAAACGACTTTGGTGACCTAATATAGTATCAGGCTTTTGTGTTTCGTCCAATTTAGTCCTCCGTTTGTTATTCCGTCAAATTGGTGTTAAATAAAGGGACAATTCAATAATATCAATATTGACATCTCTTTACTTTCAACCTGCGAAGTGAGAAATCTCTCTTTCTTATACGAATTACACCCAGAGTTACTCTCAGACCTACGAATCAAATTTTATATTTGCAGCTTTAGAAGTGATTCTGGGAGTAATTCGTAAAAAAAGATAGATTTCGCACTTCACATGTCTATGAATAAAGAGATGCCAATATTAAAATTATTGAATTGTCTATTTATTTAACAACAAATGGACGGAATAACAAATGGGGGCCTAAATTGAGCAAAAACATAAAAGTCTGGAACGAAATTGAGTAAAAACACAAAACTCTGGGACTACATTAAGTCACCAAAGTTGTTTAGGACAAAATTGAGAAAAATCACTATAGTCGAAGACGATTTTGGGTATTAACTCAATAAAAAATAAAAATAAAAACATGTTTATTATCACAAATTTTCATTTTGAAAAGTGAAACAATTTTAAATTTTATAGAAAATTGAATAACTTTTAAAAATTGTTTTCTAAATAGAAAACATAATCATCAATCATTTATTTGGTTATATATCACTATAACCACGTCCCTCATCATTATCTACTTACATATTTAATCCGCATGGACAATTCAACTGGTTATAGAGGTGAAATTCATTACTATAATTACGTACATAGGTTATCATATTCTTTTCCTTATCAAGACATCTTATCTTTTTTAATAGCATTTTTTTTAGACACCCGTTTCAGCCGAATGCAATCTGTCCAGAGTTGCGACACGCGAAACCGGCTCGGCCGTCGGCACCGTAACATCACACCGTGGCTTACCCTCTGCTGGGACTAACCACGGCTCGCCAACTTCCCTAGGACCACGCTTTCCACCCTCCCGTAGTTCATCACTTTACGGATATAAATCTACCGGCATGCATGGCAGCCTCCCTCGCCTTCAAACGGAACTTGTGAGAATGCCCTAACACTACTGGAAATTATGGAATTTTCGACCACCTGAAAATGATTTTAAATCAAGTTGATACCAAAAAGTGGTCGGAAATAGCAACAAAGATTTTTCCGGATATCAAAAGTGGTCGGAACAAGGCTTTCGACTTGATTTAAAATCATTTTCAGGTGGTCGAAAATTTCATAATTTTCAGTAGTGTAACAAACCACAGAAGAAACAAAAGGTATGGAGCCTCTCGTACTTGAAATTTACCCAACAAGTTGTTTTGTCACGTTTAAGGAGCTTCATTCTTCTCTTCAATGGTTGTGCTCGATATAGAGACTCAGATACGGTAGAAAGCTTTCCACGGAGTGCCAATGAATCTATCGTCCAACTTAATGAACGAGCCAATAAAATTTCCAATTTGTTCCAATATTGGCTCAGACTGTAACCGAGAGGAAGATCATGCACTTGAACCCATAGGTCAACGGAATCAAGGACAACATCGGCCGGTAGAACCCCCTCGGCAAGCTGTCTACACACAAGCGTTTTACCCTCAAAAGACCATGGCCCCTCCTCCAGAACGTACTCCATGTCCGTTTTGTGATAGAAAATAAACATGAAGAGATTCAGTTGGACCTCAGTTATCTGAACCCCTTTACCGGTTGCAGACAGACGCCATGACCTCACGACGCATATACTCCACCTTCACCAAACGCGTTGACAGAAACCGACCAACAGCAACCCATGTCTCCTCCTCCCCTTCTTGATAGCTGGCTGCTTACCCCTCCACTGGTTCGAAAGCAAGGGCCTCTTCCTCTTCTAAAACCATATCCCCCCATCTAGCTGTTATTCCTGCGACACCTGCACTCGTATTCAACGCCATGCACACACAGCTAAAGAGGCCAATACTGCCACAGAGCTACGAAGCAAAAGAACCGGACCAGAATTGCCGGAAAAAAGTCAGAAAAGCGATGAAAACCTAGGCAAAACCCTAAGGGGGAGAGAAACCTTAGACTTGAGATGCTAGAGAGAGAATTTTATAAATAGATCTTATTTGCTTATGGGATTAAAGTTAGACATTATTATTCACATTATCAAAATTAAAACTTTAAATCTACACCAAATTTTAAATTTTGCTTGAACGCGCTATATTATTGGTTTAGATATTTTTAGTTATGTTATATATTGTAATACAAGTTTGGTTCAGATATTTGATATTGAAATTTCATATATATTAGACATCAAAGTAAAAATGATATGAATACAAGTCATTCAAATAAATATATCTAAAAATATTTTAAATATTAGTTCAAAAAATATTAATACTATATAAATTAAATTTTAGGTGAACTTAATAGGTTATTGATTGAGATATGTTTTTAGTTATGTTATATATGGATCTAATTTGGTTCGGACATAGAAGGTAAAAATATTATATATATTAGATTTAAAAGTAAAAATTATATTTATTCAATTTAAACAAAATATATTCAAAAATATTTTAAATATAAAGTTTTAAAATCACTCAAAATTAAACTATTTTATAACATTAGTCTAAAAGAAAAAGTAAATTTGAACAAATGAGTATTAATAAACAAATTTTATAAATAAAAAACAAAGAATTAAAATTTAAAAAATTAACAAATAGAAAACAAATAATAATTTTCTGAAGTCCAATGGACCTTTTGTTTACTCCTTGCAGCAAGGATATATATGGGATTTGGGATATGGGATTTGGGATAGTCGTGACTTTATGAACATATATGAACTTACCGTAATTTCTTAATGAACTCATAGTAGTAGGACGGAACCAAAGGGGACATGGGGGCGGCTGCCCCCTTCCACCCCACACCATAGCTGCCCCATTCCACCCCACCCCATATATAATCTTTGTACGTATGTATATATATATATATATATATATATATATATGTATGTATGTATGTATATGTATCTATGTATGTATATATAGTATAGGTTTTATTATCATCATAAGATAAATCAACACCTACCATTATCCACTAAGAGTCTAAAACAACGTGACAAAGAACTAAACAATCAATTTCAAATATGACTTGGTAAAACGCTATGTATATAATGTCAAAATTAATGTGAATATATCTATTGAGTGTGAATGAGATAACATAGGTCTCTTTCAACTTAATTATAAATCGAGTTCAAGCCTTGAAAATGCAGCTACCTTAAAACTCATAAGAGAATGAATGCTTTGCCACTCTTTGTGGTTTTATTCAGTACAAATAAGGCTAGTCTTAGTATATGGTTGTTAATTGATTAATTGAGAAAACTTTTAGTTAGACAAGTAATAATAATATATCAATAATAATGTGAGGTTAGTTAAAGGTATATATAACGTTACACTAATCACATTGTCACATTTATATAAGCTCGTGGGTGGTGGGTATTTGAGTGGTTTGAAAAATATAAAAAGATTGAGCAAATTAGAGGGTGACACGCATGGGTTGCATGTAGATGTCATGTTAACGGGGCCGACCATGAAGACAATCACATGCCGATGATATATAGATCATAGATCCCACTGTGTGTTATCATTTCTATGGCCAATTCAATTCCAAGTGGGCTTATGAAACATAAAAAAGAGCCAACACTATATATAAATCTCCAACCTCATTCACCCACGTATCTCATTATATATATTGTCTCTCCACACATCCTCACCTTATTTTACCCGCCCTACTTCTAATTTCTTCATATTTTCCCACCTAATTTGACTTTGACCCCTTATCTTAATGTCAAACACAATAATTTTTATACTTAAATGATTCTGTTAAGACCTTTTTAATCATATCGAACTAGTTACGCAGAATACGATTTATCTGTCTTTATGTAATTTAAGATTATTACATAAGAGCATGATTTATTTGACGTATGATTTTTGGATAGTGAATATAGATTGCACTCGTTACCTTAAAAAATTAAATAAAATAAATTATATCCATTCACGACTATAAGTGTTTTATTTTTAAATACGTTGTACTTGGGTGGACTGCGTGACAATAATCGATGTTATTTGTACTTGAGATTCTACTACGTCTTGGACTCAACTATAAGACATTTATGGAAGATTGTATTAAAGAGATATTTGGTTTGGTAACCGCAAGGTTTCAAGTTGACCTCCTCATGAAAACTGCCTATTGGCATTATTAGTTTGAGCGGGTCAACTTTGAACAATTTAAGTTGATTTACTTCATTGTTGTTCTTCATTGGCTAAGGTCACAATACTAATCGATTTTACTCAAAACGTCAATTTAAATAGTAGTTGTGAGTTTTATTATCGTAAATCAAATAACTGTATATTTGTATTGGTGGGATGCTATTATGCTTTTTGTAATTTAGTTTTTCTTTAATTATGTTGAATTGGTTCTTGGTTGTATTAAAAAAAAAATGGTGCTAGTGCTTACGTGTGGAATTTATTTTTTGAAGTATATATATTGATCGGTTGCAAGAAATATAATTAAAATAAATTGTGATGATGTCCCACAGAGCACTCATACATAAATATCTTGTTGATGAGTCGGCTTGGTCGGAGAAGAAAAACAAGTAAACTACTAAAATATGCAGTAGTCCAATCTCTAGATATTTATAATCATCTTCATTCTCCGCCACCCAACACACTACTTGTTCGCATTTTCATCCTCCACCGTCGATTTACCTCCAATATCCATCCTCATATCTAAATATTCACCAATATATGTCTTTTATATTTTCAAATTTTTAATTATACTACTTTTTCACGCAAATAAGATAATGCCCAATGTTTATTTTTAAACTTCAAAGTAAATCAATTCCGCAAAATTATATAAGAGATGTTCATACATAGGTAATTGAACGTTGAATTTTTTTTTATTTAAATCAGTAATGCAAGATAATATAAGAGATTGTTATAACTATCACTAAAATAAATGTTTACAACTTCGTAATAACGATAATCTAATTACAGCCTTATTATATTTATTGTTTCCTATTACAATATTTTAAGAAGAGTTACTGTTATTTAATGTTATGTATGTGTGTATCTCACCGCCCATGAACATATTATGTGCACTGTCGCACTGAGGACCTTTTATGTGCATACTATATATACTTCATTTATTTGTTTAATATTATTAGGGTGTGTTTGGTTGGTGGGTTTTGCCCATAGGAATGGGTATGAAAGTGATTGTTGTTGTTTGGTTAATAGGTTTTTAGAACATTACTATGGGTTTCGAATACCCCATCAATTGAAAAACCCATACCCAAATAAAATAAGGGTTTCATTCCCTTATTCATTCTCAAGCACTACTATTAATAACCATTCCCATTCCACCCTACTACCAAACATGTTAAATACTTTCACCAAAACCCATTACCATTACTAAGTATTCGATACCCATTCCGATTCCGATTCCTATGTGCGAACCAAACATACCCTTATTACTTTAAATTGGCTAAAAGAATTGTATAGTAATTCATGATATTTAATTTAGTAAACATGTAATAGTACTAGTATATAATTTATTCAATCTACACATTTAATGGTTTAATTAAAAACAGTTACCTGTCACAAATAATATACAAGCAATCTTTTAACAGGCTGAATTGAAGAAATACGGCACCAAATTATACGTGTTATGTTTCAGGTTTTGTGCCCTAAGGCAAAACTCAATTAGAGATATGAATTTGGTCTTGTTGTTAATAACTAGATGACATCAACAAAAATAAGATGTGAATTTAATTGTATTGCGAGTAGTATATAAACATTATGCGAATCTCAAAATTTACTGTACGTGTTTTACACATTTATTTTTCATACTTATTATTATTATTTTTTGAAATATCATTCTTATTATTCTTTCCTTTATTTATTTTTAATTACTTTTATTATAAGGATAATAATACCAACTTTTGAACCAATCATTATAATTAGAAGTGCATTGATGCTATCTTTACCCAATTCACATGCTCATGTACTCATGTTTATCATCAACTAAAACATTTTGTCTAATTTAATTAGTCAAAATTAGATATTAATTAATTTCCAATTAAACTATACGTACTATTCAATGTTTAAAATTCATATATATAGATATATATCATCAATTAAAATGATACAGATGGAATATTAATGTTGCCCTTATACATCTTGGTGGAAATTTTACAATACAGTATGCTTTTACAAAGTTGTACTCCCCTTTTATAGGGGGATAATACCCAAAATCGTCCTCGATTATGGTGGTTTTTCTCAATTTCGTCCTAAACGACTTTGGTGACCTAATATTGTCCCAGACTTTTGTGTTTCGCTCAATTTAGTCCCAGACTTTTGTGTTTTTGCTCAATTTAGTCCCTCATTTGTTATTCTGTCCATTTGGTGTTAAATAAACAGACAATTCAGTAATTTTAATATTGGCATCTCTTTACTCATAGACATGTGAACTGCGAAATCCTTTTTTTTTTTTTTTACGAATTACTCCCAGAATTACTCCTAAAACTGCGAATATAAAATTTGATTTGCAGATCCGGGAGTAATTCTGGGTGTAATTCGTACAAGAAAGAGGAATTTCGCACTTCACAAGTTGAAAGTAAAGAGGGATCAATATTGACATTACTGAATTGTCCCTTTATTTAACACCAATTTGATGGAATAACAAATGGATGACTAAATTGAGCGAAACACAAAAGTCTGGGACGATATTAGGTCACCAAAGTCGTTTACGACGAAATTGAGAAAAATCACTATAGTCGAGGACGATTTTGAGTATTAACTACTTATATATATGTATCTCTATGAAAACACAATATACAATTTTATAAAGCATACAATATTATTGTAAAATTTCTTAAAATATATTTATTCAGTTATTATTTATTTGGAAATATATTCTCCCAAGCTGGATCCTTAACTATTTTGAGTGTTGACAGCCAAACGAGAAGAAAAAGAAAAAAGGGAATAATAAAAGAGTGTGATGAAGTTTATGTATGAGCATGGCGATGAAGTGCATGGGGACATAGAGCCATGCTGTAAATATCATTGCCACGTAGGCAGTTGAGGAAGAGAGAGATCGCAGCTAAAGATCTCCTCCTCTCACGCCTCTGTATCTTTCTCTCTCTGCTGGACACTTCCTTTTTCTCTCTCTACCCTCTCTCCACCCAAATATCTTTGCAAAATCTCTCATTTACACTCACCGGAAACATAGATCAAAGACACTAATTTTCACCAAACGTTTTCCCTCGACACTCCAAATCTATCAGGTATGTTTCTTCTTAACTGCCCTTTTTTAAATAAAAAAAAAAAAAAACAAATTTTATCTTATTTTACATTTGTGCTTGAAATATAAAATATTAATATCTTAAGATTTTTTTCATGCATATGAATGGCTTGGCAAGATGATAAAATGATTAAACAAGTTAAGGGTATAATGAAAGTTTCAATCTTTGAGTTTTTGTAGTGATCTCTGATTAAGAGGTTGAGAGCGTTAATGCGACTCTGCCTCGCCGAGTCTATTTGAAGTTTGAACTTTTATGCTTTAGGTTTGATGAAATTTTCGTATATGGTATAGAGATTTTTTTATTTTTTATTTTTGTTGGTGTAAAAGTTTGGATAGATAAATAAATATAAGTATCATTATCATCATTATTATTATTATTTTCTGAAATATGCTCTACTGATCGATTGACTTCTTGGATGTAACAAGGATAAGTTATATTGATTGTATTAATTATAATTATACATATTTGTAAAATTGCATGTTTTGATGATTGGCTATCAGGTTTTATCTGGAATTGCTGAAGAGGAGAGTAATTTTCATTGTTGGCTTTGGATTATTAATCTTTTTTTTTTTTTTTTTTACCTTAATGGTTTTTAAAACCAGGTTAATGTTATGTTTACTCCACTAGTTTCTTCACAAAGAGAGAAAATTAAGTTTTGCCATAAAATTTTGGCTTTATAGAAATATTCTTTGAGTGAGCAAGCACTGTGATCTTGAAGCTCATTCATTATATGTGGCCAATTTGAAGACCTGGGAAATCCTCTCATTGAGCATGAAACTATGTTGAGATGCATTATTGATAGAAAACTGAGCTGGAGTTTCAGTGGATATACTTTTCAGCCTTCTTTTCTTATGATAAAATTTGTTGGCTGGTCAACAGTTAAATGGCTACCTCGTCTGAAAGGTGGATAGATCGTCTTCAGTTCTCCTCGCTATTTTGGCCTCCCCCACAAGATGTTCTTCAACGGAAGGTACTTTCCTAAACTTCCTACCTCTTGGTCATCTTCACGTGTAAAGCCTTCCTACCTCTTGGTAATTTGTGGCAAAATCATAATGCTAACTAGGCAACAGATGCATGGAGGATATTGCATTTCTGATGCCAAAAATGTCATTTTTCTTTAAGATTTCTTCATTATATTAGTCAAAACAACTCTGATTTTCATTCTGTCTTAGGCTCAAACTACTGCATATGTTGAATATTTTGGTCAGTTTACATCAGAGCAGTTTCCTGAAGATATAGCCGAGGTACTTAATCTATTGTCTGCTTCTAGAATTGCTGTTTGGAAAACCTATTTCGTTTGTGCTTCATGATATATTATTAACTGGATGACTATATTGATTTAACAGCTGATCCGGAACCACTATCCATCTAAGGAAAACCGACTTTTTGATGATGTTTTAGGTATTTATAGCACTTTACTTTTTATTTTACCTGTATAATAATCTACTATTTCTCTATATTTGCATAGTAGGTTCTGGATAATAATGCAGCTTGAATGACTTTTCTAATCAATTTCAAATTCCAGCAAGATTTGTTCTTCATCATCCAGAGCATGGGCATGCTGTCATTCATCCAATTATTTCATGTATCATTGATGGTACAATGGAATACGATAAAAGTAGTCCACCTTTCACTTCTTTCATTTCTTTGGTCTGCCCTAGCAATGAGGTCAGTTTTTTAAATTTCTTTTATGACTTTTATACGATACAATTCGATTATACTTTACTATAGAAGGGCCTTTGGATTAATTGCAAACTCGTTATCTGCAGAATGAGTATTCTGAACAATGGGCTCTTGCATGTGGAGAGATTTTACGTATTCTAACCCATTACAACCGCCCGGTTTATAAAGTTGAAAGACAAGACTGTGAAGCCGATAGAAGCAGCAGCAGCTCTCATGCTTCAACGAGTAAACCAATAGATGGAGAACCGAGTGTTCCTTCTATACAACATGAGAGGAAACCATTCAGACCATTGTCTCCATGGATCACTGACATATTGCTTGCGGCACCTCTAGGGGTTAGAAGTGACTACTTCCGTTGGTAAGTCGGCTCCATCTCAACTAAAAGCCATTCGAACCCATGACCGTTGGTCTGGCTCTGATACCAAATTGAAGCATGTGTTTCATCTCAACTAAAAGCCTAAGCTAATAGTTGGGTTTCACATTAATGGTTATATGCTCAACACTGTGCACTGTATGTTACTATGTTTCTTGGAATTTGTGGTGAAAGGCTTCAGTGACATCAAGTCAAGTCTTCATAATTTTGATAATTAATGATTAGTTGGCATCATGTGTATTGACAATGGATTCTTTATGTGTTAACAGGTGTGGTGGTGTTATGGGAAAGTATGCAGCTGGAGACCTCAAACCACCTTCAACTGGTATGCTTTTTACGTGTTAAAAGTTTCTGCAATTAAATCTCCAGCTTATAGACATACGCTAGTGTGAAGAAACCGACTACTTTTCCCTTCTCATAAACTAGTTTAAAACTTTAATAATATTTGTGAGGAGTCTTTATTTACTGAAGTTGTTATTCTTAGCTTCCTCGCGTGGGTCTGGAAAGCATCCACAACTAATACCTTCGACTCCAAGGTGGGCTGTTGCTAATGGTGCGGGTGTTATATTAAGCGTTTGTGATGAGGAAGTTTCTCGCTATGAGACTGCAACCTTAACTGCCATTGCTGTTCCTGCACTTCTGCTGCCACCACCGACAACACCCATGGATGAGCATCTAGTTGTTGGCCTACCAGCACTGGAGCCATATGCACGTTTATTTCATCGGTAAGTATCTAAGCCACGTTTTCTAGTTTCTAAGACTTATTAAAAGAGAATCTGAAACTAAATTTCTCTTTTTTCTGCTTTAGATACTATGCCATTGCTAGCCCAAGTGCCACACAGAGGCTTCTGCTTGGACTTTTAGAAGCTCCGCCTTCTTGGGCTCCTGATGCACTTGATGCTTCCGTACAACTAGTTGAACTTCTTCGAGCAGCCGAAGATTATGCATCTGGATTGCGGGTAAGTGGTACCATAATGTACTAAATGATTTGAGCTCACACAATTTTACTTATTTTCTTCTTCTATTAATCATAAAAAGATGCAATTTTTAACTATTGCTTTCACTAACATGTTTTCAATTCCTTTCTGTATCACGTGAAGCTTCCTCGGAATTGGATGCATTTACATTTCTTGCGTGCAATTGGAATTGCAATGTCCATGAGAGCGGGTATTGCTGCAGATGCTGCAGCTGCCTTACTTTTCCGAATACTTTCACAGCCCGCTTTACTTTTCCCCCCGTTAAGACAAGTGGAAGGAGTTGGAGTCCAACACGAACCCCTGGGTGGTTACATTTCTTGGGATAGAAAACAGGTACTTCCATCTACGAACTTTTATGTTATACTAATATTTTGTAGTGATATCTGATTACAAATAATGGAAATGTTGTCTTATAGAGAGATATACCCGAAATTGAAGCCACGGTTGAAGCAACTGCCCAAGGGATTGCGTCAATGCTTTGTGCACATGGCCCCGAGGTTGAATGGAGAATATGCACGATCTGGGAAGCTGCTTATGGTTTGATTCCTTTAAGCTCGTCTGCCGTTGATCTTCCTGAAATTATAGTTGCAACGCCATTGCAACCGCCTATTCTTTCGTGGAATTTATATATTCCACTGCTTAAGGTCCTTGAGTATCTTCCTCGGGGGAGTCCCTCTGAAACGTGTCTCATGAAAATATTTGTTGCCACTGTTGAAGCAATTCTTCACAGAACGTTCCCACCCGAGTCCTCCAGAGAAGAAACACAGACAAGATATGTTTTTGGGTCTGCTTCCAAGAATCTGGCTGTGACAGAACTGCGAACAATGGTGCACTCGCTTTTCCTGGAATCATGTGCTTCTGTAGAGCTTGCCTCGCGCCTTCTTTTTGTGGTGTTAACGGTTTGTGTGAGTCATGAAGCAAAGCACAATGGAAACAAGAGGCATAAAGGCGAAAATTATCACAATAAGGATGGAGACTCTGCAGATTCGCCAGGAAGGCAGAAAGAAAATGGAAGAAAGAAACCGAAAAAACAAGGACCTGTGGCAGCATTTGATTCTTATGTTCTCGCTGCTGTTTGTGCTCTTTCTTGTGAACTTCAGCTTTTCCCTTTGATTTCGAGAGGGTGTAACCAATTAGATCCTAGGAATATGACTAAGATGGTAAACGAATCATCCATTGAGTTTAGAAATGGGATTCATTCGGCAGTCAGACATACTCACAGGCTACTAGCAATTCTAGAGGCACTTTTCTCTTTGAAGCCATCTTCGGTTGGAACCTCGTGGAGTTACAACTCGAATCAGATAGTTGCTGCGGCTATGGTTGCAGCTCACGTTTCTGATCTGTTTAGACGCTCAAAGGCTTGCATGCATGCTCTTTCCATCTTGATACGGTGTAAATGGGACAACGAAATTCACTCTAGAGCATCGTCACTTTATAACCTTATCGATATTCACAGCAAAGTCGTTGCATCTATTGTCAACAAGGCTGAACCTTTGGAAGCACACTTGACGCATACTTCTTCTGTGCGAAAGGAAATTATTCCCACCTGTTTTCACGGGAGAGAGAGTAATAAATGTGCAAGCTGTAACTGCTTAAAACCGGGGCCTGCTTGCGAAGACTCATCTAATCCAAGAACTGTAATATTGTGTGAGAAGGCTTCGTACTCAACAGAGACTGCCCGGGGCACCATGTGTAAAGAGATTGCAAGTTTCCCGACAGAAGCTTCAGATTTGGCCAACTTTCTCACGGTGGACAGGCATATAGGATTTAATTTCCATTCTCAAGTCCTTCTCAAGTCTGTACTTGCAGAGAAACAAGAATTATGCTTTTCTGTTGTTTCGTTGCTCTGGCACAAGTTGATTGCATCGCCTGAAATACAGCCGAGTGCAGAAAGCACATCCGCTCAACAGGGATGGAGGCAGGCAAGGACTAACCGTTATTAACATTTTATTTTCTATAGCATACATCTATTTATACTTTCTTGACCATCTATCTCCTTTCTGCAGGTCGTTGATGCACTATGCAATGTTGTCGTAGCTTCGCCTGCAAAAGCTGCAACAGCTGTTGTGCTTCAGGTCTTATTTTTACCTTTACGCTTTTTTTTTTTTTTTGTGTTACTTTTGTAGTTTGAATATTCACAACTTTATTTCCTTGCCAGGCGGAGAGGGAATTGCAGCCCTGGATTGCTAAAGATGATGATCTTGGTCAGAAGATGTGGAGAATCAACCAGCGTATAGTGAAACTGATTGTAGAACTAATGAGAAATCACGATACCACGGAATCTGTTGTAATTCTGGCTAGTGCATCTGACCTCCTTTTACGGGCCACAGATGGAATGCTCGTTGATGGAGAAGCATGCACCTTGCCTCAACTAGAGGTATAATCAAATTAACAATTTAGAAAAATATCTACTTTCGAAGAACTTTTCCTCTGCCATCGTATATCTGAGTACATGTTCGTTTGTAATATGCTGACATCGTTGCACCTGAAAATTGATCAGCTTCTCGAGGTCACAGCTAGAGCAGTTCAACTAATTATTGAGTGGGGGGAATCTGGATTTGCAGTTGCAGATGGTATCTTAAACCTTTTGAAGGTGAAAAATATTAATGGAAATCTTGAATATATGATGAAGACATGATTTGGTAAAAAAGTATTTGACTCGTGTGTTCCTTTTGGGGCAATATGATTGCAGTGTCGGTTGCCAGCCACTGTCCGGTGTGCATCTCATCCAAGTGCTCACGTTCGTGCTCTCAGCATATCAGTCCTCCGTGCAATTCTGCATGCTGGTTTGGCAAAACCGAGCACTAAACAAGTGAACAAAAACGGGATCCATGCTCCTCCTCACCAGTGCTTGAATGTAGGCGTCATCGACTGGCAAGTTGATATAGAGAAGTGCTTGAACTGGGAAGCTCATAGCCGCCTTGCAAATGGAATGTCTGCTCAGTTTCTTGACACCGCGGCTAAGGAACTAGGGTGCACTATATCTGTTTGAAACTCTAGTTATGTATGACTGTATCCTAGGTGCCATTAATTGCTGTATTCTTAACATGGAACTCCCATCGGCACGAGAAGCTGCCAGTTTGTCTTGATGGATGGTATGAAGGAAAGAAACAGAAGAATATGGCCTTTTCAGAGTTGAAACTTGAAACAAGAAATCACAGCCCTCCCCTGGATCAATGGTTGCTGTAAATCTCAACTGTAGGCACATGGCTTTATCTTAGTGTAAACTGATTACACCTGATTTGTGAAAACGTAAATCCAACATAATTAGCAGTTAGATGTCTGATGGTTGAATTTGATAGACTTGGAAACAGTGGTTCAGTGGACAATTTGACCTCTGACTTGCATGTAATATTGTAATAATCCTTTCCCTTTAATTATGCTATGGAAATTGTTTGATAGAAAGGTTGGTCTTGTAGAATAGTAAGGGCCCAAAACCAAAAGGAATGAATGATCAACAGTCAAAAAAAAAAAAAAAATATTAATAATAATAATAATTGATAATTGAATCTCACATTTCACTTATGATTTCAAAACCATTATTGAAGAGAAAAAACACAGCAAAAAAAATCAACTAATATAAATTATGATGGAGAATGGAGGACAACTAATACCTATACCATAGTTTCAATCCCTCTCAATGGAGTAAAGATATATAAGGTACAATTACAAAATTCAGAGGACCATTTAACTTAGGTAGGGTGTATCTAGAGCATGGAGGCTAAAATGTCCTTGTATTGTTGTATTATCTCTCACAACTTCAACCGTTGACATTCTTAGACCTTCTCGTCGTTTTGTTCAGGGGATTCTGGATGTTTTGGCCTCTCCTTCCCACCAGGTTTAGTTGAGGCATTGCCATACCAAACCATGCCCATAACAGCAACGATCATGCCAAAGACGACATGTAAATTGAGGCCCTCTTTCCCAAAGAACAAAAATCCCAGAATCAGAACGAGAATGGTTTTCATATGACCGAGCACTTGAAATGAGACAGCAGTAAATCTGCCAATGCAGATGAACTGACTAAGATTGGTGCCTATAGCAATAGTGCAAGAAAGAAGAATGAACGCCTGCAAAAGCACAGAGTACAAAAATAATTGTGAGAGGTCAATATAATCGTCCTTTGCGTAATAGGAAAGAACATGCACCAATTAATGTTCAGATAGCAGAAGATCATCCATCAAGCTAAGAGTAAAATCAGTAAATGTGTGCTCAGGTTTCTGAAAACGTGTCTAAATGTACATCAATTTCATACTTCACCATTCAGAACAATTAAACTTTTTATAAATCATCACAATAAAAAGATGTATCGTAATATCTTTAGTATAATGCACATATACCTGCAACTAATATCAACTAGTGCATCTAAAGTGAAATTACAAAATGCCAGCTATAATTAGTGTTAAATTATCATACAAATCAAATGACATCCACATACACACACTAGTTATGTGCTGCATAGTAGCCCATGTGTTTCCCACTTTCCCTTTGGTAAGTATATCAAGAACATTACTTGCTATTTTTTGTGGCACTCTAATATTTATACGCAATTACCCAGGAAAAAATGCAAAATTTAAGGAACGGTGGTTTGAATTCTGAAATTTAGGACAGTGAGTCAGCCATGAGTGGAAATATGAAAAAGTTTTTAAGCACCAACAAGATGCACAGAAGAAAATGCAGTTTTTGCAAGTATACTCTAATCTTAGCAAGATTACAATCAATCACAGAGTTCTTCCAACACTATAAGTATGCACTCCGAAAAAAAAAAAAAACACAATAAGATTTCGATGCAACACACAGGAGAAATACTAACCGTAGATGCAATAGTGAAGTTATAGTGGTCAATCCGGCTGCTTGTCAGCCAATAATCCAGAAAGGGGCCAACTATCAGTAGACTGGCAGCCTGAGCAGGAGCAGTATGTCCCAGCAGATTGAATGAACTTAATGAATATTTCCTTTGAAGGAAATGAACATACTGCATTTATAAACCAAGATTTTAGAAATTCCCTTCAAATGTGAACAACTTTAGAAGAGAGATTTTCTTAAAAGCATAATGAATCAAATAATTTGACAAAATCAGCACATAAGAAAGGTGGATGAACTTACATATTGTTGCAGAGCCGTGCTCCATACGGCAATTAAGGCAGCAACGAACCCTTTAGTATTAACACTTACATCAGTAACTGTGCAGACAGCAACACCTAAGAGCACCACACCAATGCTGAGCTTTGTGTCCCTTGAATATCGAATCTTGTCAAATACAACTTCCAATAAGCAAGATACAGGGATCATGCTTAATTTTGCAATCTGATGGTGATCCGGAGGATAAAAATTATTGAACTGTACAATAGTCTTAAAAAAGGAGGTTCGGATGGATGAGCAGAAGATTTACCTGGTAGAATCCCACTGAATTCCACATTAAACTGACATTCATCCCAACAATAGAGAAGTTTGCAAATAGTATGAATTTCAGAAGGTCTGAAAATGGAAGATGGGAAGATTGGATGTATCCCAGCCATCTAAGAACAACTGTCATCAAGGTGGTTGTAGCAAAATGCATACCAGTTAATGTTGTAGCTGCAACAATGATTGAAATTAAAAGTTAGAACAAAAACATAATGGTGATTATCCTTCGATATTAGATATATAATCAAAATAAAAAAGAGTAGACAATGAGTCATTGTTTATAAATGGATGCCACAAATTTCACAAGGGAAAGATAAAGCTATAAAAGAAACAGCAAACATAAAAATAAGAACTTTACCAAAACTGAAGCCATAAGTTGCCATTAATGCCTTATTGACAATAATGATTCCAACAGATGTGACAACATTGAATATCCATGCTGCTGCATCACCTGCAGCCTTCTTTTCAGCCTTGCTAGCAGGAGCCTTAGGAGCCATTTTGATTTATTCCTGTACAGATGGAGCCCTTCAACCCTCAATCACCATAAGGAAGCTCTCACAATCCCATATCCAAATATAGGACCTTTTTAGCTTTCCCACCTAAAATCGCTACAGAAGATCATTAAGCAACCTGGACAAATTAGGCAAACTCATAATAATTATTTTAAAACAAAGAAAAAGAAGAAGAGTCAAGTTCATAATAGAATTACTATAATCATAACCAGCCAACTATCTAAAGAAACAATAACAAATAAGTCAAAGAAACAGTATATTAAACTACTACATCAAACCTCCAACCTCAAAATGCAATATCATTCACATAGTATTGAATCAGCATATCAGCAGTTACTATTAAAGCATTATACCCAATCTAAGCCCTCAGATTGAGAGCATATCTACCCAATCTAAGCCTGAACAAGATAATAAATTGTACGTACACTCACTGAAACTAAACTAATTACATCGATCACAACACAGATCCACATATTCTCACATCACCACCACTGAAAAGGATCGAAACTCAACCAGAATTCCAATGTTATATTACCAGATCCAAAACACACGAAAATTCACGCAGATCCAAATCACACCCCAAACGTAGCACGAACGTCGTCCATACACAAATAAATATTTGTGCGTGGCGCGAGCGTAGTATTGTCAGTGTCTTGAAGATGATAATTAAATAGTCGAATAAATGATAGACTAATAGTAAATTGAAAGACGAACCGCAATGAAATTAACAAGAGCGAAAGCGACTATGAAAAACGAAAGGGAATACAGATCTTCAGACTCACTCCCTCTATCACTTCCAAAACGCAATTGAGTGATATACAGAGAGTATAATTACGTCTCTGATTACATACACGCCAGCTGAAATGGCGTGAGAAACCCAGCAACCAAAATGGAATCACACAAAGAGAAACAGAGTTGTGAGCTACTTCTTTTCTGTTTCTTTCAGCTGCTACTTTTGTTGTTGATGGGTTATTTTTTATTTTTTTAATAAGAAAAAAAAAAATTTCATTTAGTTATATACATGGTATAAATTTAATCTCTGAATTATATATATAACTATCTAACTCTATAAGTTATGCACGAAATGACAATTTTAGTCCCTTGTGAATTATTTTTATCGCTTAATAACGTGATTAATTTTGTCATTCAAGAGCTAAAATCATCACTTTATACATAATTTAAGAATTATATATAACTCAAAGACTAAATTTGTACCATAAGTATAATTAGAATACCAAAAATATAATTTTCCTAAAAAATAATACTCCCTATATTAGGAAATGCTTCTCCCAACTATAAAAGTCACACAATTTGTGACTCCATATGTGACTTTTTTTTATATACATAATTTTCTTTTTATTTAAAATCTCAACTAATAAAAATTTATCATATGGAGAGTGACAAAAAGTGAGTGACTTTTGTATGAGCATTTACATTCTTCATTAATTAATTAATATTTTATTTGTAACTCAATAAATAAATGTATATATATATATATATGTGTGTGTGTGTGTGTGTGTGTGTGTTGAGGGGGGGGGGGGGGAGGGTATGTCATTTATATCAAATTTGTGTATTATATAAGATTTATTTATCTGATAAACTTGTGATATATCGACCAATTTATATATAGTTAATGAATGATTGCAACACTTATAGATTTCTTTTTAAATAATACTCCTATTAATTAATATTATATTTGTAATTAATGGTATGTTATTTATATTATTCTCTTTACACCATTTTACATGCCATCTTATTATTTATTACTTAAAAATAAATGATAAATAATCTGAGCATTTATTAAGTCTCGTTAATTAAATCATACGCATAATATGAAAATAAATAATATTAAATACTCCGTAACATGTTTTTATCTAATAAATTTATGATTATTTATTAACTAATTTATACATAGTACATAGCTGACTTAGTGTGCTGACCGTAGGGACGGGGGATTAGTCTTCTGGCTTTCGGCTGGAGGGATACCTTTGGGCAACCAAAAAAAATAGCTGACATGTACGCTGTGACCAATTGGGCAATCGTTATACCCTACACCACGGCGCGCGTAGCACTGTGCGCCGCGCGCCTCCCAAAACGACGTCGTTTTGGGAGGTGCGGTAGGAAGTTGCTGTGATTATGTGTATTTGTTCACACAATTATGTGTATTTGTTCATACAGTTATGTACATTTTTTATACAATTATGTACATCCGAATCAGAAAATTTGTGTGTATTATGTTAAGAGTTGATGTGTATTATGTTAAAAGTTTATGTTTATTATGTATTATGTTAGATTATGTGTATTATCTTTTAAAAAGAGTATGTATATTTTGTTATATAATTATGTACATTCATGTATATAATTATGTGTATTATAGTATAACATTATGTACATTTTTGAACAACGGGTTTTTTTTAAAGAAAAAATTACTACCATTCACTGGGGCGGGAAATTTCAAAAAAAAAAAAAAAAAATTAAAACGACGTC